CATGTAGCTCTGGCGACAGCTTACCATTCCATGAAATTTCACACATTCTTCAACAGGGCAATATATCTATCTGACCCTGAAACAGGGGCAAGCAGCAACTTTTCTCTCTTTTTATAATGTGACCGCTTCTGGAACGTTTTTCGATTTCTATTATTCCAGTCCCAGAACAACTAATATTTAGTTTTGACATTTTTTTTATTGTTGTGCTCATGGTGGCTCCTTGCCAGCTGAATGAAATCAAAATAAACAGGTGTCGTGTGCATTTTCAAAAACAGCTCTTCTCTCTCCCTCTCTCTAACCTCTCTCTTCATCCCCTCTCATTTCTCTTTTCCTCACAAAAGCTTTTGTTATCAAATTCTTTTCAGTCTGTAAATGATTTTCTTCCTGCTCAGCGTTCTTACATGTAACCTGCAAAACAGGCCAACATACATGTAGACAGGGTTTATGGGGAATAATGTTGAAAAAGTTATATTTATTTATTTATTCATGTTTGACGAACTGAGTTGAGTACGACTTGTATTGTAGAACCAGATATTCATTTTTTATTTTAGTTGAGGTGGATACTTTCATGGCAAAAGTAGTTTTGTTTATTGAACATTTCATGTTATATAGTCCTGTAAAATGAAAGACTGCTCTCACATTCTTTTCTATTCTTTTATTATTTTGACTAGAAATAAATAGGCTTGTATATTCTGATGCTCCTCTTGGAGGCAAAGATAGGATCAGCCAAGTCTTTTGGTTTTAATGTTCCGATTATGTGAAGTGTTTATTAGGGAACTTGTAAAGCTGGGAGCTTGTAGGAGCTTTTAGGGTGCATGTTACTGGTGTTAGGTTCTCTGAATGTCCTGTCATATTGAAATAACCTTTAGATGAATTGATGTATTCTGTTCTCATAAGATGAACAAATACTCACGATGTAGATGATGACAGATATGAAATATGATCATCAGTTGGGTATTCTAACTCTGCTTCTCTTTCCTGTTTGCGTCAAGCTATATGAACAACTGCATCACTCTTCATGTCTCCTAGAATCTTTATATTTGACATTGGATTACTGTCTGCGTATTAAGAGATCAGCAAAAAGCAATTGCGAGTGCGTCAATGCCATTCTAAAGATTAAAAAGTCTCCTTTATTTGATGTCTTTTTTCAAAGCTCATGATGTCTCCCAGCCCTCTCTTCTCCTCTCTCTCCTCCCCCTCTCCTCCCCCTCTCCTCCCCCTCTCTTCCCCCTCTCCTCCCCCTCTCTCTCCGTCTATCTCTTTCTCTTTTCTATCTCTCTCTCTCTCTCCCTCTGTATATCTCTTTTATTTTCTCTCCGTGTCTATATCTTTTTCTTTTCTCTCTCTCTCTCTCTCTCTTCCTCCCTGTTTCTTGTATATAAATGCTTGCATGCATGTACATGTAAACGAGCTGGTTGTAATATGCCCCTTCGCTCTGCCCTCCTTACAAGTTATACCAGCCTTACTAGTTATACCAGATTGCCTTACCAATCTATCAAGATTTCAATCTCTAGACTTTCTACCATTCCTTGATCCTTGCACTCCTTTGCCTCAACACAGACCTGGTAGACCTGTACATTTAGTGTTGATACAAGCAGTTTCTTTTAATAGTAACCCAAGTTGTAAGTTCACTGATCAAGTTTGATGAGTCAAGTCTTGATATCTCTTTTATATGAGCTTGATATTAAACAAAGTATTGTGATATTGATGCTCCAGGCATCGATCCGTCAACACTCTATTTAATGTAAGAGATAAAAACAAATAGGATGAGCAAGGAGTATGGTAACAAAGAGAAAAGGTTATTGCTATGATCATGTCAAGGGAACATGAATCTTTGATGTGATTGGTTGATTTAATTTGATTATACCCACAGTTGTACAAGTCCCTGGATTATAGAGTTAATGTTTGAGAAGAAGCTGAAGACAAAGAGTTCCCCTAGCCCAGGCCCAGGGTAGTCTGTTTACGACAGAAGTTTAGCGGCACAATTTAACACAGAACATAGAGTATGTAAGATGTTTTAGTCATTGAAGTGCAGAATCTGTATCACCAGCAATTAATTTACCAAATGTAAAGATCTCTCACAAATCATAGAAAGTCCTATGAAATCATGATGTTGCCTTTATCTACCTATGAAAGCATGACAAAAAAATATACATTATAGTGTTTTTTTCCCTTCATACTTGAGGCAAACAAGAATTGCATATAGACCTACAATTGCATTTTGAGAGTCTCTTGAGAGATTGATCTCAATTCTTATGAAGCTCTGAACTTTCAAATATGGAATGTTCTTCATCATATGGCATCATAGAAGTGTTAAGTCTTGTCTTTACTTTGGAGGTATGAGAAAACACAAGTTTTTGTTTCTAATGTTTATCTGAAAACACTGCTTTACAAAGGGTATTTGGACTAGACCAAGGTGTAAGTAACATGCTCTGTTTACTTACTATTATCAAGGGCATCTATAGGAGGTAAAGAGTCCAGTCTTGATTATCTTCCATTGTGTATTGGCTGAACGTTGGACCCATTCAACTTCCCGCCAAAAGTGGAGAGGCAATAAAAGATGAAAGAACAGTTAGCAGTTGGTGTACTTTTGATATCATAAGTTTAGTATTTTATAAGATAAGGCTGATGTGTGGTTTTGTGTTCAAATTATCATGAGACTGGTAGTAAATAGAAAATGAAATAAATGAGTTCAATGGGCAAATGTGGTGCTAAGTTAGCAGAAATGATTGATATATAATGCAAACAAAAAGCAGACGTGTGGGAGCCAGGATGTCATTATTTTTTTTTTTATTATTCTTTGCTGTATATTAAATTTATCATCTTTATCTTTCCTTATGGAAATTTACAGTGACATGGTAAGATATCTGCTCAGACAATGACTGTGTTGGTATAGGTATGCAAGAAACTTCAATCAAAATGGAGAAATTAGAAAAAGTGTTCAAATTTCAATAGTGTTCCTTGAATGTAATTTAGTGAGGATGAGAAGTAATTTGATCTCCATTCCTGCCATTTTTGTAAATATCATTATTGCAAATATGTTTCTATATATTCCCTGTATGGAAAGAATCTATTCTGTCATCAAAATGGAGAAAATGACTTCCCCTTTTATGAATCAGGTGATGGTTAAGCGTTATCTAACACTGTAACACTCTATGTCCGTATTATTCAGGGACAGACATTGTTAATAAATAATTACCAGAAGTATTTCAAAGAAGCTATAAAAGGACAACAAAAAGTAAACACCTTATCCTTAACCAAGCACGGCAGAATGTGATGATTCAGTAGTTGAGAGGGAGAAGAATACAAGAATGGATAATGAAAGTAGTCAGTTGTCTCGGCATGTCACAAGAAAGATTAATATATCATTATTTTGCAATATTCCTAAGGCCATTAATCCATTAGCAACTTGAGATCTTGTAAAAATGGCCTATTACTCACTGGAAGATGTAGTAATATTGCTCTCATTTTGACATTGTTCTGAACAATATGAAACATGCACTATTTTTCTATGCAGATTCCTACTGTAGACATTGTAAAGATTACGCACATATAACCTTTTATAAAGGTAAAGACCAGTATTGGAAACGCCCCAATTTCAAAAAATGAAATGCAAGCTCTTATTACCAGTCATGTGAAAGAATATGTATTGAATAATACATGATGATAAAAATGTTGACGAGAAATCGCCTACTAATTGATATATTTGGTAAATTAGTGTATCTCTCGCCTGTTGAGAGATACAAATGCACGTATCGCGCACGTGTGTGTAGTCCCATATACATCTTTCTGTGTACAGTGATTCTAACTTTAGGAAGACTTGGCCAAAATTCTTATCATTTTGATGATTCCAGAACCTTGCAGTACATCTATGCTAGATGATCAACCTTTTCTGATCGATTTCACAATGTTTCTTTCACAATGCAATCGCATGACCATAACTGGTCTTTAGCTTTAAGGATAGACCCCATAGAACGGATACTACAGCTCGGTGAAAACGCACAAAAAAGGAGGGTTGGTTTCGAGCAGTTTAGGATTACTTCCTAATTTCTTGGTGAGGGAACTGAATGACTTTGAGATCATATGCACTTCATCTTTGATGAATGCCAGGGAAGAGAAAGGTTTTACAAGAAGATGACTAAGTGGGTTTAGATAAGCAAACATTCTGCAGGAAGATTTAAGAGGTCCATGACCTGATGGTTCTCCTGGAAATTTGTGTAGGAGAAACAAACAAAGAAGGAAGGAAAATGACTTCTTGATGGAGATTACTTGGAAAAGGGATTTGTGGGAGTGTTTGAATTGGGGACATTAAAGATGCATTGTTTATAGTACTCTTGATTGGTTTGGGTGGAAGGACTTGTTTGATTATGAACTTGTTATATTCAGCAGGTCATTTGTCAAGTTTAGATGTGACTTATGAGATAGAAGAAGCAGGGTCTGTTGTAGATGATAGAAAATGGTATTTCATGGCTCAAGGAATGTGCCCATTAACCTGATGATGATGATGATGTTGATGATGATACCATTACTAGTGAGAGTGATTCTAAATGATGATGGCAGGAATGATGAACATGATTCATAAAGATGTTGGTTATTTAGCATGAGATTTTGAAAGAAATGGATGGTGATGATAATGATGATAGTGACTTAAAAGGATTGTGGTGAGTCCTATTTGGACAGCAAAGAGAAATATTTTTTAGAGTCTACTATTATGTTTGTGCAATTACTGGTTAGCTTCATTAGATATTATCTGGTGGATAGCAACAACAGACCTAGTATTTTCATATACTGTACTGAAAAAAATACTGTTTATCTTCAATTAAATGTCTCAGACTGTAATTAATATGTACCTTCACAATGATAAAAATAATATTAGAAGTAATAATGAAAAACACCTATCATACTAAAATTATGATTCTGTATATTGTAACTTGGTTTATAGTTTACCCCAACTATTAAACTAATGACAATACTTTCTGTCTTTTTCCTTGTTTGTACAGTACCACCGACCTTGAGACGTAACTTTAAAGGTTTGGTTGAGAAGAGCCTTGGTTTTGAGCACAAGATACCATGTCCAGTGAAAGCTGATCCCAGACCTTACACAAGATGGTTGAAGAATGGTACTGATCTCACACCCAATGACCCCGATGATAATGTGTCTTTCACCAAGACATCCATCGTCTTCAAGCGGCTTAGGTTCTCTGATGCAGGCCTGTATACCTGTGTGGCATCCAACTTTTTTGGTCAACCCATTCATGTCAACTTCACTCTGATAGTAGTTGGTAAGTTGAGATTGATGATTTTAAGTGTTAAGAGTTTTAAGAGGGTTCAAATGAAGGGGAATAAAATTAACAAAACACAATTTTCAAGTCACTTTTTACTGAAAGTCAGAGGAAGAGTTGAGGTGTGTGTGTGTGTGTGTGTGTATTGGATTTTTACAGACGTGTATCAATCAGATATGATTATTTACGTCTGGGGACCGACCTTAAAACGTCACCATCCGAAAGACGTGACTCAGTTTCGAACCTGCGTCCTCGTCTGAATCAGTTTGTAACTTCCACTGTTAGTTGGATTACATGCGCACGCCACAAGCCTAGTTATCATGCCTGTAACTCTTAAAGTAGTTTGAATCAAACAAGATGTTTTTTAATTGGAACAAAACTGAAAATATGATGCATTGTTATTCCATATATTAAAGTCTGTATTTGGATAAGGACAAATTTTATTACATACATTTGTGAGAGAGAATATAAATGTTTTTATGCAATTTTGCTATAAGTGTATCTATGACCCCCAAGCACCAAGCCATTCCTCAAAGTCAGATTGTTTTGTGCTCAGTAAGAAATAAATATGGTAGGGTTTCATACGACATCCAAATAATGGTCCCTCTGTCTGTCAGTGCCTTATAAAACACTCCTGATTTATTACTAGTGTTTTTCACCTCCCTATGCTCTGTTAATACCAGGTTCATGAGGGTAACGTTTCATGGAATGTCACATTTGATGTTGATTGTCAACAGCAATATGTTTTTTGGTATCATATTTTACAACTTGGTTGCTGAGATGGTCATAGTCTAGCATTGTCATTCAATGTTTTATTACCATACGATTAGAGACCAAACTTCTGTGCCCTCAATAAACCCCAAAGGTTGTCTTCAAGTCAACACAAGAGGGCAGCATTACCTAAAGTCCATGGGAGTGTGGATGAGTGTGGATAATATTATTTGCTGGTACATTAAAATTATTGTTATAATAAATCAATTTATATTGGAAATGGTTAAAAAGAAATCTAATTTGGATGCCCATTTAATTTCAAGTTACTCAAGTTGAGGAATTGATTCCACAATGCCTGGTAATGTGGAGTCAGTATTTCTAGCATTAAAGTTGTTGACTTTCTACTCGCCTTTACAGACACACATTCAGAGTCTTATGCGGAATCCAGTGTCCTAGAATCCTTCTCCTCATTGGAGTTAGAGACTGGCCCATACAATGAGACAGAAGAGGAAGAGACGCACTTCCCCAGGTTCACAGACACTGAACGTATGGAGCCAGAGAAGCCCTTGCCCAGTAACACCAAGGTCAGGCTGGAGTGTGGCGCTAGAGGCACACCTACACCAAACATTACCTGGATCAAAGATGGCGTTCAGAAGTGGAAGATCAATGTCATTAGACCTACAAGGGTAAGTGTGAGGGGAACCTGTGAAAGGTTAACGCTGACTCTAATCAGAGGTCTGATAACCCGGTTCAGATTTAGAATCACCCTCACAAAACAAGAATAAAACAATTGTTCTATTGAATTGCAGAGATTGAAGAGCCGGGGAAAGCACATAGCTTAAGGTGTTATTAAATGAGTGTGCTGTGCTCCAGAATTTGTATTTGATTTTGAGTATGATATTAATGTGCCTTTGAACAACATGTGCCCATTTATCACAATTCTATGTCAAAAGTGTGTTTTTCAAACCAGGAACTAAATCTTCTCTCCTTGTGTATATACTAACAGGTTGAGGAGAAAGGTTTTGTTCTGATCATCCGTCGAGCTATTGTTAGAGACACTGGCAAGTACACCTGCATTGTTAGCAACCAGTATGGCACCATTGAGCATACCTATGATGTCAAGATCAGAGGTTAGTAATCCTCAAAATGACTCCTTTTTATTTATTTTTAATTTTTAAAAATTTTGTATATCAATATATTGCAGGACCTGGGCCCGGTCTTACAAAGAGTTGCGATTGATCCTAATCAATTACAAGTCCTCTAATCTATCGCAAGTTTGCAGTCTCCTATCTCTTATGTACATACTTGCGATCAAATAAGTTGCGATTAATATCAACTCTTTGTAATACAGGGCCTGTTAAGATGATAAAAAGCGGCCCATTAACAATACCAAGGTTACATGTCACTGCTCCCTAATCTATCAACCGTATTGGTTTATAATATGATGAAGACAGTCATATCTTTTTGAATAGTTTATTGTTGCACCACTGATTGACCAATTCTTCTTATGGATCATAAAAGCAGATTATTTGATATGCAGCTGTCAAACATTGGAATTGGATATAAAATGAAAAGTTTTTTTTTTTAAAGAATTACATATGGAAGCAGAATATTAACCTCTCGAAAGAAAAAAAGTGGAAAATTGCATCTAAAATATGAATGGCCTCTAAGAAATAAACTTATAACCAAACACATGAATTTGTCCGTGATGATACAGGAGTTGACCGATGTAGAATGGTCCTCTGGGAGAAAAGAGTGTTTTTTCATCATGTTGTATGCTTAAAGTTAAATAGTCCAAAATTTGTAATGATTTAATTACAAAATTAATTATATTGTACATGTGTAGATGGATGTTACTTTGGGTATGTTATATTGGCTTATGTGAAAGTAAACTGGTAATCTTTGTAGAAGAATGGAAGAGCGTTTAAAATGAAATGAATGTTTGTCTGTTTACAGAACGACTGCCTGTGAAGCCTATCATGTCACCTATGAAGAATGTGACTGCCACTGTGGGCTCCAACACCTCGTTTGTGTGTAGGGTTGTGAGTGACCTTACGCCACACTTTGCCTGGATGCGCTTCAATGGAACCAACAACACCAAACAACGTCTCACAGACATTGATGACCATATCAGTATTCTACAGGTAAGAAAAAGCCCCTAACCTAACAGAAACCTAACAGAAAAAATATTTGGAGGAAAAAAGAATAAAAAAATTTGATGGCCCTACCTACCTTATTTTAGAATAGGCCTCAGAATTCAAATTAAGTCAGGGTTCAGTAACTTTACAGTAAAGTTCTGGAAATACTCTTAATCTTGGACGTTTAGTTGGGAAAGATTTCTGACTGGCCTTTGCAATTTATAACTTATTTACAGGGCCTCGATTTTCATGACATAATTGTGTTTGTTGCTGCCGCTAATGATATGATACATTTGATTGAATGATATAAAGCATGCAATGATTGATTTGCATTAGATATTTAACTGATTATTCTAATCCAAAACTAAACTAATGCACACTGGAATATTTAATGAATGTAGAGAAGAGCTTCTAAACTTGCTGTGCCAAAAGAAAATTAATTTGTTAGTTATATCTCAAAGCAGAAACATAATGGATGATATAAAAAGATTTTGATTGAGCATGAGAATTACAACAATCCTGTGATTTAGTTTGGAAATTACTCTGATAAAATGATATTTATTGCATGTGCATGATGTTAATTGCATGATCCATATATTGAAGAAGATTTGATTTTGTTCATTTGATATTGTTTTTTATTCTTGTATAACCATAGTCATTCCAATGTGTTTTCTGAGTGTGCATTTGTGAAATGAAATGTTGATGTGAATGTTTTTTTTCTTCATATGATCAAATTCTTCTTGATACATCATATTATTGCTCTGTTCTGTACGTGATTGTTACTGCTACTTGAATGGTCTCCTCACATGAGGTGTGAGAGACAGACAACGTTAGGACTTGGAGTTAGTTTAGTTTTTGTCTAGTAATGTACAGTTTTGATCAGTATTCCTTTTTCTTTTGGTTGTTATTGTTTTGCTAATTTGGTGCCAGCATATCCCGCTCCTACTTCATTTTGGCTCTTGTTATATGTTACAGTGCATGTAATCACCACTGTACCAACAATTAATCTTATCATATACTGACTGCCATGTCAAAGTGACAAGAAAATATGATAAATTCTTTGGAAAGACAATAATTTCATCAGAGAATGATTAGTACTTTGAATTTGATTTATTTATTAGTGTTCACACTTCTGCATGCGATAATGGTTATCATTCAGACTGTTTGATATACATGGTATTTCCTCATGCACCTTTCTTTCGACTATTAAATGTTAAGTCCTTTTTTCCTTGTCAAAATGGGCATGATAGTGATATACCAGTTTGAGTCTTAATGTTTAGTACCGCTTAATAAGAGATTAAACAAACTTTGATTATTCTTCCAAACAACCTCATTGTGGATGTTTTCAAACTAATTCAGCCATTTTACAAGGTAAGAGATACATGTATAATGGTTGCATGCACAAGACATGTTATGTGTTAAGTATCAAACGTAGTGCTTTGGGGTATCTTTTATCATTGTAATAGGAGTATTTGTGTCTTGTGATGGCAATGGTTTGTGAAAGATGTTTGAGACTGTTGGGTGAAATGGTAGGGTGAAATTGTTGCGTGTCTTTGTTATAATGTAATATCCATCTATGTCAACTTCCTGGCAGTAAAAGCAGGATAATGAAAACCTGTATTAGTATAAAAATGATATATTTTGTTAGGTTTAATTACTGTGATTTTGAGTGATGCTGAATTGAATGTATGCTAGGTTGATGGATGCTGAATTGAATGTATGCTAGGTTGATGGATGCTGAGTGTAGATTTTTATGCAATGATGGAGCAAACAGAGTGTTTGGAAATCAGAATTTTGATCTTGTGTCTTGTACAGATTTAATGTTATTTCATGTTGTAGTTAATGAATGATTTTAACCACTAACATAATTTAATTTCCCATTCTCTCCCATTATTCCATGTGCATGCCTGCCCACCTCTCCATTTCCCCCTCCCATTATACCACCATCATCCATTGCGGTTTATGATCGCTCTCACATGCAACCATCTTGTTGCTGGTTGCTATGGTGATCATGCTCCGCCCTCGCATGTAAATGTTTGGAAATGATGTTAAACGAGCAGCAACGATGGGTCGAGGAGCCAATGCTGACTTGCGACGAGTTCCTGGATGTCTTTTACCAAAACCAGTCCAAGAGGATGCTGGAATGTCTTCATCTGATTCAGGTATTTTATCATCATCCTCATCATCATCATTATCAACTCATCTCTTTCTTACAGCAGTCTCCAGCCTCTTTAGCTTCATGCTGGATCATGTACAGTGTTTCTTTTCTCTTCGAAAAATAGATGTAATCTTGGTGTTCTGATCAAATTATTTCCTTCCTAAAAGTCTTTTATTTGGTGTGCTGGTCGATCTTGCCTTTCTCTTTTATCACTGAAAATAGATGTTATTCAATGTTCAATTTCTTTTTCTCTCGGCTTTCATGATCTTTCTCTTATTTGGTGTTAATTAAAGTTGTCTAATAGTTCAGTTTCTTTTTTAACTTCTTTCTTTTATTAGTTCCATGTCTGATTCTTTGTGTAAAAATTAATCATGGGGAACTTTGATTTCTGGTAATTTCATGAATACTACACTAATAATATTGTTATTTAGTAACTATCGCAATGAAGAGAGGAAATATTTGAAAATTAATGAGGGGAGAATTTCATATATATGAAATATTGTGTTTGACGGACATGGTCATTTAAAAAAACCCATTTCATTTCAGTTAGATGATTGGATTGGGGGAGGGTGAGGGTAGTTTGGTAACATACCAAGGGTTGTATTTCTTGTATAAATTTCTTTTCATATGCTCAATATTGCCTATCTTCATTTGTTTATGCTATTATTTATGTTTAGTTTGCTCTTTTGGGTAATTTCAAACTTTGTTTTCCAACTTAATCTCTCTGCCATCTTATTCTTTTCCTGCCTATTTTTCTGTTTGATATCTCATTCCCTCTCTCTACTCTGCTTCTTGTCTCATTCATGTTATCTTTGCATAATCTTTATTTCTATATTGTGCAAGTGTATTATTCCTTTTCTATCACTTTCTCTATCTCTATCTTATATTTTAGTCTTGTATTCTTTGTGGATCATTCATTCTAAACATGTGATGTGGATATTGAAATCTACTCTCTTTCTTACCTCTCCAGGACTCAAGTGAATCGACTCTAAGCTTTATATTTCCTCTCTAGGAAAAGCAAGTGTTTGGTTATTTCTATGCATGTCCCTGATCTGCATGACAAAATGATTTTCTTGATGACTTCAAATTAACTCTTTAATTGCATGCTGCATGTGTCTTGCCTTTCTAAAACACAATACTAAAACATTAGGTGGAAAAGATTATTTCATTTGTGCATGAACTAACTTTCAACATTTAATCAACAAAACTTTAATTGAGGAATTCTATTTAAAGATATTATATACTCGGGGACAACATCTCAATCTTTGTTTTGTCAAACTATCTTCTGTGCCATTATGTACATATTTCTAAGCTGTTCTCTTTATATTTTCATTGTGCACTTGGCTTTATATTCACTTTATTTCTCAGCCAAAAGTTCCTTTATTTCTTCTGGTTCTTCTTTTTTTTTGTGCTCTTTTATCCACCTTATTCTATCTGCTTTCACCTTCTTTCACAAAATCATTCTCTTTTTCTGTACAAAATCTTGAAAATATAATACTTGTAAGTTCTTTGCAGTTGCAATGTTTGATATTCAATATATGAATGAAAATGTTAAGATAGATATATGGAAATATAATATATATTATATGGTTTACCCAATCCCATAAGTAGTTCACTGTCTTATTAGAGATATGGCACATATGATAGACGTTAGTTTACATGAATTTTGAATTGTTGATGCTAAATAAGTACCGGTAAGGTTTGTTCACTCCATTCTTTGAATGTTATAACATCTACTGAAAAAGTGTACCTGAATATAAGGACAATAATATCTGAAAAATTCAAATGTAATAATTTACAAGTTATACCTAAAAACATCTCAGTTCTTTATCACTCTAGCATTCTTTGATATTGTAGTTATATAACGTGAGGTATTGATCACAGAAATATCTAGAATTGCGACCAAACAGATGAGACATTGCAGTGATTGTAGGATATATGTGTTGAAACATTATCAAGAACTGATTGACTGATTTAGTTGATCTTGTCTTTCTTTTTTAGCTTGAAACTCAAGGAGGAATGGAGGAAGCTAACCAACTGAAGCTCTACAATGTCCAGTATGAAGATGAAGGCCCATATCTATGTGTCGCAGGAAACTTCTATGGCATGAGCTGGGAAGGAGCATATCTAGACGTAGTAGAACGTACGTTACAAAGAATTGTGCAAGAGGCTTTCAGGCCACACATAGATTTTCTATGGGCCTACCTATATTGAGTTTATAGATCAGGTTCTAGGTATCGGGTAAATGCCATACAGGATCCCTTAATAAAATGATGAGAAATTTGGCCCAGTCTTGGTAAAGTAACGAGCATTGTACCGCAAAAAGATGTGGCATAAAAATCGGGCCTCATTTTTAAGCTGTTACTTGTCATATTTAGAATATGAAGGCATTTGAAGAGCCATGCTTTTCAGGGAACATTTTTTCTTGGATGTTCGTCCACTCTTGCATAATAACAATGATAACACTCACAAATTATTTTTCACCTCTCCCCAGAACTTAACCTTCTCTTTAAGTTCATTTATTCCATTTCATTGAAGTACATCTGTATATGATAGTTTAAGTAATTTTACTATTTGGTCTGTTTGGTTGTCTGTTGGGGGGGGGGGGGGGGGAGTTAAATATATGAAAATTCTCAAAACTAAGGTGGTTTTGCTATATCAAATATTCAAGCAACTGTTACAATTTTGGGTCACATATTGTTGTAGGTTTATATGGCCTTGGAACCCTATTAGTATAGGACCCTGCTAAGAATCTCTGATCTTATATTCACATTCCTGTATTGTTTTTGTTTGACAGCTACTACCCAAGCTCCAGTGAGAACCAATCCTCCTGCAGTCTACATCCCAAACAACATGCAGCCAACGAGCAAGACTCAGCTTATTATCTTCAGTGTTGTAGGGTTTGTTGTGGTGCTCATTCTGGTCACGTGTATAGCTATCTTGTGTAAGCAGACCCAGGTTAGACATCGTAGACCTTCGGACAAACCAGACATCAGTGGGCCTAAACATCTCTATAGACAGGTAAGCGTAGTAACACACTCTGTGACTCCGTTCATGGCTCATTTACGATGTATTTTATTCATTTTTTACCCTAGGCCAATGATTAAAAGTAAAAACAAATATTAACGTTATGTGACACATTTACAGTATGCAATAGATGCAGAATACCTTTTAAAAATTGCTTACAGCTTTATGAGACGTGAAATATGTTCAAAATGTGTTCCCAACATACCGGAAATTGTATTTAGAAATTCGTGCGGGCCTAACATGATCCCAAATTGACCCACTTCTTGTATCTTGTGCAGACGTCGGTTGACTCCACCCAGTCTATTGCTCCCCTGTTTGGGGGGCGGAATCGACTAACATCATCACTAACGGTGATCTCCGAATACGACATCCCTCTTGATCCTGAGTGGGAGTTCCCTCGAGACAGGTTTGTACTTTAATCTTTACCCAACCAAGTCTTTATCAGTCATGTCATGTTGTAGTGGCAGTGCTCTCAACCTTCATAGTGGAATAATGTTTCCCTTCCCCTCTTGTGTAGTGTTGGGTCCTTGGTCTTCCTTGGGAATTTTGACTGTTGCATAATGCATGTATCTCAAACTAGTGGAGTGATTTTTTATTCTGAAGAGGTTAAGTCTACATGTAGTGAAATATTATATTATTCTAATGCCAAAGAGATACCATGTAATTGTTTTCAAACAAATAGATTCAAACCTCAAAATGTTTCTTTGTTGCCATGCAGTTCTATTGTCATAAAAAAATACAAGTCAAAACAAATGTAGAAACTACAACTGAATACAAATAGTATGATTAGCTGAATAAGGATGGTAAAATTATCCTGAACCTTTTGTTATATTCAGAAGTCAATGAAAGATTCTGTTAAAGATGAACTTATTAAATATGCTTATGCATTATGGTAACATTCATATATATGTTGTGTATGTTTTTTGTTGATATGATAGACTTACCGTTGGGAAAACCATTGGAGAAGGTGCGTTTGGTAAGGTAGTGATTGGAGAGGCAGTTGGTATCGTCTGCCAGGAGAAGACTAGCACCGTGGCTGTCAAGATGCTCAAAGGTGAGACTAATAAGAAAAGCTCAAACTGCTAAATGAGGTACAGACTATATGTGTAACATGTAAACGATGATGAAGTCATGAGGACCTTCCTCTCAATTGCTTCAGAAATTTGCATATGTGACTTACGTTAAATAAATAATCATCAGTTTGTATAAAAAGAGCTTATTTCATTAATTGTAATATATGTAAATTATGGAACTTTTGCTGCTCTGAAGAGTTGTACATGTATCTTGATTCTCTCGTTGTGAAATAAAATATAAATAATTTGCAGGATTATTGTGGGGGCTTACCTATATCGTACGTTTCTACTTTAATACTCTATCAATTGTTTATAGTTATACAGCAGTTATTCTGATGACAAACGGTTTCTATTTAATCAAATGATTTTACTGGGAATAAAAAGTTATTTCACTCCAATGTAGTATAATGAGAGAGAGTGTAACGACAAGATATTTTGAATTGTTTTTCAGCCAATGCGATGGACCGCGAGTTCTCTGATCTGATCTCGGAGCTGGCTATGATGAAGATGATTGGCAAGAATCCTAACATCATCAATCTGCTTGGATGCTGTACACAAGAAGGTAAGATCACAGTGTGATCACAGTGCGTAGAAAGCAACTATACAGTGTGTCCCAGAAAAAACAAAACCGAGAATTATCAATGTTTTACTATAATTGTTATTAAGTTATGATGAAAACAGATAATTCTCGGTTTCGTTTTTCTGGGACGCACTGTATATGCTTATTTAGTTTTAGGGAACCTTCTGGGAACCTATCTGGAGGACTAAATAATGAAGAATACACATCTTACCCAAGGGCACTAGCAATCTAGCTTTGTTTAAAACCCAGGTTGTTTGTTTCATCTACTTATCCATACTGCCTGTGATTGACAACAAACTCCTTCATCTCTATGCTTTGTGATATTAGACATCAGAAGCCCCTACTATTTCTGATAAAACTCCAAAGTCATTGTCATTGATTAACTGATTGATTTTAAATTTACTGAGGTTTCTGACAGAGAGAGAGAGAGAGAGAGATGGAGAAAAAGAAGATATAGAGAGAGTGATAGGAGAGATAGAGAGTCGACATTCAAGGGATGAAAGGTTATATTTTCAGCCTGTCATTTATTTCTTAAAAAGAAGACTATCACACCAACTTGGGCTTCCATTTCCCTCATGAAATACATCAACTTTTCTTCTCATGTCACAGGTCCCCCATATGTCATTGTTGAGTTTGCTCACCATGGCAACCTACGAGACTTCCTGCGCTCAAGACGTCCACCTGAAGAATATGAGAAGTCTATCCTACTGACGACCTCTCAGACGCTGACCAATAAAGACTTGATGTCTATGGCTTACCAGGTGGCTAGAGGCATGGATTTCCTCGCTTCCAAAAAGGTGAGAATATCTTTCATGCTTTATCAATAGAAATCATATGTAGGCTTCATTTTAAGATATGAAATAAGGTATTTTGTTAGAGAGCATCTGATTGGCTGAGAAGCTGTCATTCGACTCTCAACATCTTGGTATATGTGCATGAGCGTGAGATATAACAACTTTTTGCACGGCAAAACACGTAGAAAGGTGAATGAGATTTTTTCATCATGGAAATTTAGTACTCCATCAAAGTAATAGGAGATATTCAAATGTAAATTTAGCAAACGATTAGAAATGTACATGTATTAAAAGAAATAATTAATTTTGCTTTTGTTTTACCTTTAATTATTTCTATATCTAAGTTAAAAACACTTGACTAGTGAATAGAGATTGTTATTGAATAGAGTGTTAATGATTGGGCAAAGGTTTTTCCTTTCTCATAGAAAATCTAGGAACAGTATAATTCTTATGTTGTTGTTATTATTTGTTGATAGTGCATTCATCGAGATTTAGCTGCAAGGAATGTTCTAGTGACCGAAGACTTTGAGATGAAGATCTGTGATTTTGGACTTGCCCGTGATATCCACTACATTGACTTCTACAGAAAGACTACAGATGTAAGATTTATTACCTTCTTTTCCTTTCCTTCTCTTCCTTTCCTTCTCTTCCTTTCCTTCTCTTCCTTACCCGCTCTTCCTTTTCTTCTCTTCCTTTCCTTCTCTTCCTTTCCTTCTCTTCCTTTCATTCTCTTCCTTTCCTTCTCTTCCTTACCTTCTCTTCCTTTCCTTTTCCCTATCCACCTCGCATCTTTTAACAATGTTTCTTAAAGATAATAATGAGTAATTGCTATATGATTTAGTTGTGTAAGATACTGTCGAAAAGTCAAGTTGAATTATTGACTATGTAGCCAATAGGAGCAACTGAATGTAATAAGGGGTTTAGAATCATCCAAATTAACTTAAATAGACTAATTCGTGCTGAAAATTATGATTGATGGAAAACACTAGACACAGATTTACATCTGTGCAAAAACACGGTTTCAAAATTTGTTAATTCTCTTGTTGTTTTATTTTGTTTTGTTTTTGCTGGTAATTTGGATCACAAATATATATGTTGTATATGAATACTAATTACCTACATGTATGTGTTGTACTTTGTAGGGTCGGTTACCAGTGAAATGGATGGCTCCTGAAGCTCTGTTTGATCGAATGTTCACCACTCAGAGTGATGTATGGTCATTTGGTATCCTCCTGTGGGAGATCATGACGTTAGGAGGTACCCCGTACCCTAGCGTTCCCGTTGAACAGATGTTTGACTACCTACGCTCAGGCAAGAGATTGGAGAAACCTCAAAACACCTCACTAGAAATGTAAGCTGGTCTACTTTTATGTCATTTACAGTAATTGCATGATTCATAATTCAACTTGAATATGTTACCTTCTAGATATAAACATATTCCCCCAATATTGACTCAAAATACACTTTGAAAAGATGGAAAAGGATGTACAAAAACTAAGGAAAGTGAAATGTCATCTTGAATAAAACCATTTGTCCTATATATATATAACTTGCTTATTGCTCTGCTTCGCATTATCATGTAAAGCTGTTTAGAATTGTAAGTATTGTAGTCTTTATCCACTGGGAAATAAATGCACCAAGAAAAATATTTGATGATATCCATGGCCTTTACTGGTCACTTCACTGTTACAGTTCTTGTATTAGTTGGTAATTTTTTTAAACCTGGTTATCACCACTTGGGGTGTTATATCTTCATTAGAATAAAGAAACATTAACAACTTGTCTTTTGTTTGATCATTATATCTTACGATTCTCTTAACATGACTTGTGCATTGCATTGTTTTGCAGCTATCATATCTTATGTGAGTGTTGGAGAACATCACCGGGACAGAGACCAACGTTCTGTGAGCTGGTAGAAGATCTGGATCGTATCATCTCGGTCTCATCAAATCAGGTATCCACCCAATCCATCATATCAAACAATAACAAACAAACAACAACAAAAGAATCTAAAACACACAATCATTAGAGAGAAGTGAGAATGGTGTGGTTTCATGTTAGTGCAAGCATAAAATCTTTGTTACCGGTAGAAGAACAAATGTGATGAAAATGTTTTCACAAATGATGTCCCAGTTTTATCTTTATTTTGATGCTGAAAACAATTTTATGCATTAGTCTAGTTTTATGCATAGTAATCAGTTTATTGAAATATCTGGTCTTAGAAAGTTATGATGTAAATAAAACTCTCCATGGGTCAATTATAAATGAAAAGAAAGGGTTCAGTTTGTTTTGCCTGGTCCAGAGATGACTTTTGTCAAAGATTAATATGTTGTTAAAACAGTGAGTATGAGACTAATGATGATGATGATGACCATGGCTTTCTTTCTCTGTCTTTCTTCCCTTCTTCTCTCCCATCACAGGATTATCTTGATCTGGAAGCAGTGGGTGATGCACCAGTCAAAACCTTTCAAGAGAGCGAGGTAGACTCAGGCTACGCCAGCCAACATAGTAGACACAGTAGTGAATCAACTGTATAGAGGGCCACCCAACCACTACCCCTCCTTCCCTTCCCTACCCCCCTCATCACCATCACCACCATCGCATCCTTCACCAACCCCACCCCACCATGCCATCCTCTACCCCCTTCCTACCTACCCTATCCCCATTGCACTACGCACTTCCCTTCCCTACCTCACTATGACTTGAACTGTGTCTTGTAAAGACGGAGATCAGAAACCAGTGGATCTAGACCATCCGACCAACTGACTAAATAATCACAAAAAGATAGCCTAGATGTACAAAAAAAAAAGAACAAAAAAAAAAAGAGGAAATGATATGCATTTCTATTTTTTGGAGACATTTATCACTGGTATGTGTTGATATTGTGTTGGACCAAACAAAATGTGAGAGAAAGAATGAATTTGATGGAAGGTGTCTTCTTCAATGAATGTTATATTCTAATGTGGACCCAGCTGGATTAAGACTCTAACTAAAGTGAACTCTATCTTGTGTTCCCTCTAGCGAATGGCTTTTATGGGATTCAGGGCGCCGCTCTCACCGCAGGTTTATTACAAAGTACCACAAACTCGAGACTGTTGTCCGTATGCAAACTGATGGCAGAAGTCGAATTACAATGCAGGACAAAGCATCTGGTATGCAATTCATTTTGTGTTTTCATTTGCCGCTTCAGACTAATTCAGTTTGTTTCGTTCCTTTGTGGAAATGTTTTTCTTTGGTGCTACTGAATGACCGGTGAATGTGAAATAATGGAACTCTGATTGAGCAATGCATGGAGTCCAATACTAGAAGGATTGAGAACTACCAGTGGATAGTATAACGGCACACCACGGACATACTTATCATCCTGGAGGGTGCCCGCCCGCCAACGTATACTGCAATAGACTCTCACATATACGTGTATATAGAAGATGGAGAATCAAGGAGAATCTAACATGGAAAAGCATCGTAACCGAAGGGATACAGAATTGCATTATGCGCAATGCATGATTGACGGAAACCTTTATTGCCTTCGATTTCTTTGTGCTTTATTGGACATTTATGTGTTGAGAATGTGCCGCGTGAGAATATGCCAAGACACCGAGTGAGAAACAGTAAACTGTCTTGGCTACTTTCATCAATGGCATACATGGAATAGACTCTATGACACCAAGCACAGGACATGAACTTAGCACTGATACTCAGTGACTAAAGTAAGCTGCATATGTATGCTGCTGCTTGGAACAAATTATTTTGTTGATGTTGAATTGTGACCTCATAACTAATGTAAAATTTGAAGGAAAGAAACAAAAAAGTGGAACATATATATAGAATATATAAGCTATATTGTGTATTTGGTGAATATATATATATGTTCTTATGGTGTAAGAAAAGGAGGGCCTGTACTATTAAACTTGCCATGTGTTCACTGCCAGATCTTTTAAAAAGAATATTATTTGGTCTCTTTTTCCCTTCTGATATAGCAAGCTTAGTTAGACTAGTGTATTCCTGTAAAAAGAATAAAAGTACTGTTTGGTATGTGTGTTAGTAACCACATAAAGTAGAAATATATTTACTTTGACTGTGGTTTAAAGAGTACAATCTAATTCACTACTTTCTCTTTCCTCTTAATGTATTACTCAGAAACAGTTTTAATGTTTGGCATTCAATGAACATATTCTTTTGTTTTGGAAAATGAAATGAAATGCTAGATGCACAATATTTGCTTCACAAAACAAGCATATACTTATTATTCTGGAGTTCATCTAGTTGATGAGGAACCTTTCAAAGTAAAATTTTGATTGTAATCGTGATTAATTCCTACTATTGCCATTCATTATGAATTTCGACCAAATGAATTTATTTCCCAAGTGGGATTTATGAGCTTTATTGATATCTATCCTCCATGCAATGAAAACAAAGGTTCTGTCTTTTTAAGTTAAGTATTACTTCGTCTATTGAGGCTAGAAAAACTATGCCTTTCAAATAGAACTTTATTTCATCTTTCATATTCTATCTTTCACTTTTTTATCAATAGAATGCTTTTGATTTTCAATTCTTGAAATCGATTCAATGAAGACCTAGGTTTCCTCTATTAAAGTTTACTCGCTCTATGCAAAGTTCAAATCAGCAAATTTGTTTTGATGAGGATTTACAATTGTGATTTATTTTTTATACAAAATGTAATTAGGAACTGTATTGCCAACTGATTCACAAATCATTTTTTTTTTAATTTTTAAACATTGTTGGTCTTTCACTTGCTAAGTTGATTTCAAGAGAGCTGGAATATATACTAAATACCTTTTGAAATATCAATTAATTTGTTGTCACCCTCAAAAGCAATGATTTTGAATTTACTACTCAGTATTATGAAGAAAGGGAAATGAAAGCAGAAAATGAAACTTATTTATCTGAGAGAAAATAATTTCATTTTGAAGAAGTTGGATTTAGAAGGTCATGTGGTCTTTATATCATATCATTTGTATATTAATGAACTGAAACAATATATGATTTTGTTTTAAAATCTGTTTTGTATTTTACCTTGAGTCCTATGTATCTAGCTTGAATCCAGCAGCATTACATGATGAAATGACTGGATCAAACATAGTTTGATAATAAACAATGTCCACAGATGGGTTGCTGGCTGCAAGCAAAAGTTGCTGAAAATTAATTTTATTATCATTTTTTAGCAACAGATTTACTGTTTTATAAAAAATAGAAAAACATTAAAAAGATTTTTACCATTTTTTTAAAATGAAATTTTATACTGGATTTTAAGATTTAATAATAATATTTGTTGTTAATGCTCAGACTTTGTGAAAACCACAGAAACAACAAATATCCTTGAAACCTCTCCTTCAGCCTGTTCCTACTTGTGGTTGTTTCTATTATTGTTTCATTTCCACTTCAATGCATTTCATGTTGAAGCATGAAAGTAGTTAAATATGTCCTCTAAACTTTACCACAGGCAATCAGGCATATTTAATACCATGATGTACCAATCAATAAACTCTCTAACTGTTTACCTACAGGTGAAAGTTTCTTTAATAGGTTGATTTCATACATTCTATCTACACAATTTTTTTTTTTTTTTAGGTGATCGGTACATTTTAAGATAAGAATCCAGCATATTGAGACATTGAAGCATTTAAAGAGTAGGAATGAACCCTAAAGTTGTTTTACTCGATGTGTAGACTTGCAGGGTTACATGCCCTATCAAGGGGCTAGCCAGCATGACGTATTCACTTTTACTTTGTCATAAAGAAAAAGATTTTAGTCACTGTAGTGTGACTCTCAAGTATCTATGTTTGTTTCCACCTTGTCAAAACCACATTATTCCACTTTTTAGTCATTTTTATATCCAACTTGTGATGTGTATATGCTTCAGAGTCAGCCTGTTATATTTTCATAAGTCAAAAAGTATTTTTAGAAACATTGCATGAGATAATGCATTTCTGACTTATTGGCCATTCTTTTAACAGATCTGCGTATAATTCTTTGATGGAACATTTCTATCAATAGTGTTGCATTCATACTCTAAATTTAGTTCAAAGATAGTATCAATGACTTTCTAATTGCAAAAATAAGAGGAAAAACAAAATAACATTTGTAATTGATGTTCATGAATTTTGTGTATTCTGTTTCATAGAAAGATTATAATTCCTCAAAGATATGAAGTTAAAATTCTTTTCAACTATTTTCAAACTGTAGTTTTATCTTCGCAATTTCGAGTTAAAAATTATACAGAGATGGAAATCTAAGTATGTATATTTGTAAGTTGCCTTCTTTAATTTAAAAGAAAACCAAAAGATCATGTTGTTTGGATGTGGTTCATGTTAATTCATTATGAGATTGCATTTTTAGAATGCTAGGAAGTACATACTTTACTCTAATTCAAAATAAACCAGGATCACTATTTATGATTCCCTCTCCTAGAACTGCTAGTAATCTACATTTTAATATCATTGTATATTTCATAACTCCAGCTTATGGATAAAAACAAGCTTTATTCCTGCTCACATTGATAATAGAATTCAAGTATGCCAACTGTTAAGTGTAAGATGAGGGTATAGCACAATTGTCATTCAAAGTAACAGACTGTGTGTGAATGTGTATATTGTATGGTCAACTCAAAAGCAACAAATAAATGTTTTGTTTTCTGCTTAGTTACAGCTTATCCTACCAGCAAACATCATTATCCACCATAAACTAGGTAGCCCTTAGGCATTGGCAAACAACATTAATGTTTCTCACTATTTCTTCCTAAATTCCCTTTAAAGAACAACAGATTACCAGTTTTCATCTCCATAAGAAAGTACTTCATAAATGAGCATTTATCACCATGAAGCGTTTTGTATTCAAGATGTTTAGTGTTGTTTTTGCAGGTGTTGAATGATTAATGGCACCTTATTTTTGTGAATATGATCATATATGTATTTGAAAGAATGTTTCTTCATAGATTATTATTTAATTATGTTACTGTATGTGCAAGGTGCTGATGTCAGTGGTTTTCAAAAGCAGAATGGAGACATGTACCGGTACTCTGTACATTTGACTAAAATTCATTCTCAGCGTTTTTCTTCTTTTTTCTCAATGATAATAATAATACCGATAGTCACATTTGTATAGGGCTTAATACAATGTTTCCAAGCGCTTAAATTGTAATAACTATTTTCCTGGTAACTTGATTCAATTGCTAATTCGCACACGCTCCGCTCTCGGGGGAGCATTCAGGCCAGGTGCCATTTTACAATGCTAACATGCCAATCCAACCACATAAAATTGGCATCCTACCAGGTACCCTGGATGGAGAGTGGCAAATCTAGATTGATGTCTTAGCACGTGATAGGACTCAAACCATGAACCTTATGATCCACAGTCTGGTGACATATCTTCTAGATCACGACACCTCTATGCCATAGAAATATCTCTTTTTTTTTTTAAAGATCTACCATTGAGCCAAATTTTAAACTTGTGTATTCATTCTTATAATATGTAACCAAGGTTTAAAAAAACATTAGGCCTACTCCTGTATTTTTTTAAGCACCTTGGGCTTTTTTAATAATTTTTTTTCTTATCTTGCATACGCTGATTTTGGGATGTTTGCATCTGATTATAAGCCTACATGAGACTGTTTTCATGTGCTAAATGTTCCTCTTGTATATTATTAATAAATAAATGTTTTGGAACATGAGCTCGCCAAATAGTAGTGTGAATTATTAATATAGTTGTGGGAAAGTGATAATTTTGAATATGACAAGCTCACCTTTATTAATTGGTGAAGGATTTGAGACAGAGAGATGAAATGATTGAAAGAGAGAGAGAGGGAAAGAACAGAATAATAGGGGAGATGGATGTAAATATTTTTAGAGTCCAGCCTTCCACATTAAATTCATGTGACTAAGACAATGCAAACATTAAACCCATTTGAACAGGCGGTAAATACTAAATGATTATCTTTGCAATCACTATCACGTGATGAGCTGTGGACCAACCACAACTTTATATCAGTAAAGTGCTTTCTAATTTTGAATTTTAAACATCAAGATTTCCCATTTACAAGCCCAAAAAATCAAAAGGTTAAATCGAATCCACTTATTGATTGCAATCCATTTAGTAAAAGTCTGATCTTCAGACCCTTGAACCAAATGGTGGTATGCCTTGAGCTGCGCAAAGATTCAATCAGTTTAATTTTGGCCGTTACAAGAAGTGGGTTATTGATGTAGACAAATGCTCATGTACCCTGTTTAGTTCATTTTCTGTATGTATTACCAAAGAAAAAAAATGTCAGTCAGTCACTCAATAGTGTCTGACAGTGAAGTTGCATAATAAGCCAGTTCAGGGTTGCAGTCTGAGCATGAGCAGATAAAGGTTGTTGCAAATTTTGAAATACATGGAGACAAAATACTGGATACGTGCTCATGAAAGTTATGTAATCATTCATGCATAAGCAGTGCACTCCATGATGCACAGGTGGAAGTATTCTTTGAAAAGGGGAAACAAAGGCTATTTATGTAGCACCTCCATCTGTGATTATTTCAAAATGTACAAAGTGGGACCTCTTCAAGTTTTGAAGATATGTGGATAATCGGGGTCATTGCAGTAATGTGCTAACCGTGAACTAGTCTATTGGAATATTAGGACACTGCAAACATTTAGATTTCACAGATAGGACATATGTGACATATTCATAATTCCCGCAAAGTTCTACAGAATTTGATGTTGGCTGCAAATGGGACATAGTACCTTTAAAACGAGGGGGAGGGGGGTTTCAAGCACAATGATTATTGCTTGGTGAGTTGTTTTACTATTTTCTTATGGGTAAACTTATTCTAAAATTTACCAACCATTTGCTTTTCTTCCTTATTTCAATACAAGTTGACATATTTAAACAACAAAATCAAGAACCACAATGCAGACCATAATTCAAATTTTGACTTTTAAAGCTGAAAGGAAACCATATTCCTCAGGTTTTTGGTTTTATTACAAACTTCCATACATAATAACATCACTTTGAACCATACATTCGGTGACATCAGTATCTTCCCTTGGTGTATCATTTGTACAGATATGTACATAACATAAAAAGAAAGTAATGTTCAAAATCTATCATGCAAACATTCAAATCAAGACTTCAAGCAAGAATAAACTACATATAAAACCATTTATATTTACTGTTTGAATTTCAATCCATCACAGATGCCATATTTCTAGAAGACAAGGTGACATTGTGATTTTAGGACAGGGATACTTTCCCGAGGGAAGGAGATAGTGAAAACAATGTGCATGCCATGAATGAGTAATGATTGGAACATCATTGGGTAATTGAATCTTGAAAACATACATGTATCAATGCTTTTCATAATACAGATTATTATCAGTATTATTGAATATACATGGCTGAAAAAGGACAACCTCATCTCTCACAAATAAACAACATCTCCTAAATGCTCTTTACAAAGGGGAAAAGATAAAGGGAAGAAATAGGCCATTTTCGTAATGTAACCAAATTGATACTTAAAAATAAACTCGAGTTCTGGTAAATATAGAAAATAAATTCTCAACAGGATCCAATGAAACTTCCACTGAATGTTCAAGATTACAAATAAATGACAAGAGCCAAACATTTTTTGGTAGGAAATGCATAGTGGCTGAGCATAGAAATATAAGGAAATTCAGGTAAGTAGGCCCAACACTATGTGCTAAACACAGGTCACCATGTGCAAATGGCAGTTGTGGTTTATATCAAAGATGATGGCCAGTAAGTTTTTGTGCGTTTGTTTTTTATAACACTGATTCAAACAGCCAATCTACTGCAAGATAAGCAATCCAGAATAAATCATGACAATTTTCCCTCAAAATACAATTCTCATACCAGAGCTCAAGATTAGCGTCAAGTGCCTCGATACAAATTATTTCATTCACCTAACAAATAATTATACATCATTTGTCAGAATGCAAATTGCATATATTACATGTTGTTAGGTAGGGCAAGCCATGTTTGGCCAACCTAGCAGCAACTAACGTATGCCATTTGAGTTATGACTATTGAGACTCATTAATTTGTATTTCTTAAGTCTCGCGAGGCGTCTTCTATCTGAAGAAGGCATGGTCAGGCAACATGCTTAATAAGGATGATGTGGCGTCCCCTCCCTCGCCATTTCCTTAACTTGGCATTCTACCGACTTAAGCCCGAGATCAGGGATCGCTACATCTGCCTTGGGTGGAATCCTCCTGGGTATCGAAGCACTCGAGGTGGATGATGGGAGAGGGGGTGGCAGCCCTGTTTCTGCCGAGGGAGAAGAGAGAACAAGGGGACCGGCGTACGGACACCCTGTCCTAGAGAGGCGAGAACGGGGTCAGACTCCCCGACTCCTAGGGAGAGGATGGGAGGAATCTCACCGATGACTCGTACGTGGAGGACTATTTCCCTGGGTGGGACGAGACTGAGTTCATGCATATAGAGGGGAGACTTGACCTGAGCGTAGAGTCGGACCAAGAGGAAGCGGCAACTAGCCCTAGACTAGGCTCTTTCGAAGAGCTGCTCGAAGAGTTAACCTCTAGGGAGAATAAAGATCAATTGTGGGAGGTACTGATCGCAACCCTTGGACTGGCAATGCGCGAAGGACACATGGTAGAACACATTGTAGAAACCATGAATATGAATGTCAAGCCCTCTTTGAAGGTCAGCTAATGCAAGACTACCCCAAAGCACCTTGGTGCCCTTCCACGTGAATGAAATCATTTGTATTAAAAAAGGCATATGCATAAATTTGTTTTCATTACAGAATTCAAAAAGTCTCCCAAATTGTCAGCCACATCAAGGGGCACATGATACAAATAAAACTGATAACTGCAATTTTATTTTCTTTGTTTTTAACTTGAGTGTTCATCTGGAGGCATTACAGATGCCACTATAATCCGAATTTGAAATAAATTATGGTTCTACATTAATATAAGCTAGACAAGTTTGATTGATATTCGGTCTACAGCCTGGAAACATTTAATTTGAGAAAAAATTAAACATGTGGGTCAATATTTAATCCATGATCTGTCAACTATAATCCTAGGAAAGGTAACCAGTACCTCTAAATCCAACTGTGATAATAAAGATATTCTGTAATTTAACAATGAAATGCCTAACAAGCAGCATGGTAAACTTCATTTCAAAATCTCATAAACGGGATTCATCATAAACCTCTTCAACTTTAGATTTGAAAACAATGGAACTATCAAAAAATAAATAAACACTCAACTTAAAATCAAGTCCTTCAGAAAGGAAACTTGTAGGACAATATAAAGGTTCCTTTAAAAAACTACGATAACACAACCTCCAGAACATGAGATGTCAATAATACCCAGATACAATCATTGTACCAAAACTTACAGATAGCAAGGAATAAATAAATATGATAACTACCTTTTCCATTCTGTAAAACAGATCAATTAACAGCAAAAAACAACTCTAATAGGCCTACCATCAATATGATAATAGAAACGATAAATAATAACTCCATAACTGGTATCTAACATCCTTGTTCTGGCATTCTGTCCATGCAGTGGTCCAATAAAGGAGGTTTCAAGAGTTCAAGGTTGAATTCATCAAACTTTCTACAGCCTAGCGAAGAATCAGGGCTTTGGTACATATTAAGTTTAAAACACAGTTGTATTTACCAGTTATAATGTTGGAGATTGCTGATGTAACAATCACCCAAAAATATTTTGTTCTGTACGTTTAGTTCCATATGTCTACTTGTCATTCAAATATTAGCTTTGAATATAACTTGTAATTGTATAATTTGTGGTGGTGGTTATTTTACCTGACTGCTAAGAAAGCATAAATGCTTGTTAGTAAGCAACCAGATGGCCGACGGCTTTAGGTCCTCTCTGAGGGACTTGGTAATGAGGATCAATGCCTTACCAAAGGGCCCTAGCGATCAACTTGGTTTTGAACCCGGGTCACCGGATTACTAGACCACTGCTCTACCGACTGAGCTATCGTGCCTCCTCTAAGAATGAATACCGGTGGGCACTCAAGATAAGAACGAACATAGTCCACACCAGGGAGACTATGGGGAGGTACAGGGAGGGAATGCCTCAACTGCAGGCACTGCCAGTTGAAGGTTGAAACCATGGGACACATTTCCGGGTACTGTCAATTGGTCCTGGACCTACCTAAGATCAGACATAATAGCCAAGGGATTTAGGGTCACAGAAGAACCCAGACTGGTGCATGGGTGCAGATGGGAAGAATTACCTACCGGATCTCATTCTCAGTGCGGGAGCCGGGGGAACCTTGTTGCGTAATTGACCCCCACAGTGGTGTGGGATAACAACCCCAAGAAACTACAAGTTTAATATACTCTTAATTATCATAAAAATGGACTTGTGAATACACAACTTGACGCATCATGTTATTCCTTATTTTCTTCATACTCCTCATCCGTTGGTACACAGAACGCCATTGCAATATTGCAATGAACCGGACAGAGTCGGCACAATACGTAAAGATAATTGCCAATTGTATATAAATATGTTACCATGTCCTTAGTTATAAGCAATGAGCCGACAGTACCGGCGTAGAATGCTATCAAGACTGGGGTCAAACTTCTGATTTTGATTGGTGTTTCATGTACCTGATTCTGACTCCAAAACGTTTGGAGAACACAACCTAAATATACAAAGCAAAGCTCTTAACTTGATTTGAAATAGAAGAGGGGAAATCAACCATCAGAATTTCTTTTTCTTTTTATATCTTGTCAAAAGTTTTCATTTAATAGTTTTGTGATTTTAAAAGAGCAAATTTCAATGCAATTTCAAAACAGATGATTTGAATTTCAGTGAAGAAAAGTTGAAAGTATATTTTAAAAAGAAATCCTCTTTAAGTAATCTCTCACAACCTTTTTATGAAGTTATTAACTTCAAAATGGGGAAGAAAAAAAAACACCTTCCTTTTTTTCTAACTGTAACAATAAGGCAAAACTTAATAATCATAATGGACAAATAAATACTGGAAGACTTTTACTTTATAAAAAATTCATTTTTCTTCATATGCATGTTGAACAAATCTGCCTTCAATAAAAACATGATGTAATCATTGGAATTAGAATGTCCTGTCAAGAGATGAGAAACGGAAGTTATAAGAATTTTTTTTAATATCAAGGTAAAAAGGACATAGGATGCCCTATCAGGGACAATTTTGTCACATGTCATATATCAAGTTTTAAATAGTTGTTATCCCTTTTCAGACAGCAATCAACGTGAATACATGAATATGTTTTAGACGGAAATTGTGGTTACCTCAATCTACGAGGGGGGAAATACAACGTTCACAACGGACGATGGCACCACTGCACATTGCCATCCGGAGCCGAGTCGGTCAAGCATGGGGATTCTATGTCAACGATGCTGTACTAATGCTATAATAACAGTGTTTCCACAGCACTGATCCTTCCTAGAACTCTGAGAATGTAACTTTATCCTTTTGAGTTGACAATACCGGTACATATTTAAAGAAAATGTGAATAGTGTCTACCCACCTTTAAAATATTTAAAAGAAGCTTTGGACAAGATGCTTTTAACTACGTTTCATTTAGGATTCGTCATGAAGCTGTAAACTGATATACAGAATTCTGTACATGTATCCTCACCCAACTCAAATACTAGTATTTAAACACACTAAAGTCATGAGTTCTATTTCAAAAAGCACTAAACTATAGTTTAACATCTTATTCTCTTTCAATAATGATATATAAATATCTGTACTTATTTATACTTTATACACATTATGAGCCATAGGCACTAGGACACACACTTTCTGTACAAACATAACACATAAATACAAACAGAGTTGGGCGTACATATAAGTATGTACAGATATGAAATATGGACAAGACAAATACAGTGTTCTAATAAATCTCTCTCTATACATATACCTATGGGCACACTGCATATGCCTGCTACAAATACTCTACAAGGGCTTTCCCAACCAACCTCGGGACATCAACATAAAGGCAATCATTTTTTTGTGGGCTTTCTGCTACATTTTTTTCATATAAAAGAGGAAAGTGCTAACTGTAGGCTTTGGAATAATTGAGCGTATGCTAGCAATGAAGAATGGTATGCTGATGTAGATGATGATGCATGTTAGGTCTACTGCTTGTCAGGCTTCCATTGCTGTTTAAAGTGTCTGTGAAACTGCTTGGTGAATGTACATCATAACGGTTGAGGACGTTTTCCCGGCTTGGTACCGGGTATATGTGAAGAGTCTGTTGAGAGGTCATCGGGGCACACTGCGCGGCAGTGAGGGGTGCACACTGCTCAATGTCCATCATATGTGGGTTTGTCAGATTGGTTCGGTTGAGATAATCACGATGGTTGTACTCCTTTTTAATAGATGAGTTTGGGAGCTGGGGAGCGGGCGGGGCTGTCCGATGACGACGACGTTGTGATCTTGCCTTCTTCCGACTGATGGTGCAGATGATAACGATGACAATAAAAAGGAGTGCTAGACTGACTGGAATGCCAATGAGTAAACCTTGTTCAATATGACCCCATGCCTCAGGAACAACTGGGTTTACTCGGGGAGTCTGCTGAAGGGCGGGGTCTATCCAGTTCATGTTAGGATCTATAGGGGAAACAATACAATAACAAAAATAGAGTTTTAAACCAATCAACTCATATTTCTGCCTCTATATAAATATTTCTTACAGATATGAATGAAATCATAAGAGAGAGAGAGGAGGAAAAGAAAGATGTAGTTTAAAGGTTTTCGGAAATGATACTAAATTACTCAGATTTGGTCTGGGCAGGGACATGTGGCTTAAACCTCCAAACCCATCTCCACTTTTCAGGGTGATAGTTGGCAGCTTCGGCAGGAAGTTTGGATGAAAAAGGGAAATGGTTGCAGCTATTTTTGCATCTAGGTTTTGCACTTTAGTGAGAGTATAGGTGAAGTATTATAATGAAGGAAATAGGACCCCATTTTCAAGGCCAAGATCTAAAAGTGGGGCCATTTATCGGATACCCCATGTTTAGATTTTGTATTTATTTTTTTAAAGCAACCGATTAAAGTGGCAAATCCCTGTATAATGTTAAGCCGAGTTACCCCTGCCTCCCGGATGAGAGGATGATAGAAAGGACTGACTCTAACCTGGAAACACTTCTAGGAATGCACTTTTGAAGCTATAGCCCATGGTATTAGCCCCTAAACAGATGTACATCCCAGCATCGTCTGATGTAGCATAAGAAATGATGAGTTTGTTGAGGTACGACCCGTCTGGTCTTGGAAGAACATCTCCAGCAGGAAGCACCACAAAGTACTGTCCATCCATCTCGATGGTTGCATTGGTAGGGGTGCTGTGCGTCTCAACCCTCTTCAGCCATTGGATGTGAGGCTTGATATCACTACGCACCCGACATTGGAACGATGTTGTGCCTCCAAACTCCACTGTGGTGTTGACTGGGTGCTCCCCGAGTAACTCAGGCTTCTTCTTCACTTGATCTGAAAAGAAAGGCAAAAGATAAATAAATATGGTGTTAAAAAAGACATTACTTTTTGTGGCACTTGCATATACTCATAAAAAATACTGCATACTTTAAATAGAAGATACCAATTGGTTAAATGATGACAGCATTTATGAGAACATTTTGAGAAAAAACACATTGGGATTTCCAGGACAACTAATAATTATTCAGTGTAGTTGCTTAGATTTCTTTCTAATCTTTGTTTTATATGTCTATTCATTCATGTCAGTAATTGGGATCACTCTCTTTCTCTCTTTCTGGGGACCATGTTTATTTAATGTACACATAGGATGTGTTTGTGTTTGGGAGATTACCTTGCTAGCTATGCAGAACACTAGTTCAATTATCAATACTTTCATAAGTAGAACATTTTCAACAATTGGATAGGAATTTGTTGTTCATTTTATTTTCTGAGCTGAAGTTTACACAAGCTAAACTTTAAAACTCAATATGAGAAATACTAATTCTCTGGGACACATCAGCAAGGCAGGGACAATATATCTGCAGAAAATTCTTCTACTATTTACTGCAACTGTTATATTTCTGCAGGTAGTTTCCATTTACAAATACGGACAAGTACATCCAAAAGTGAAAAGATAATTTCAAAATTGATTAATTTGATTATGTTCCATATATATAAATAACCATTGCATAGCATAACTAGTCACCACCACCAGGAATATAAACATATCATGCAATCAACAGAAATCAAACATGCCACATAAAACAAACAACGGCTCAGGACTCTTCTGCTTTTTAAGAAGAGGAAGTAATATCTAAAAGGACAGAAATGTTTCTTTCTTTCACAGTAAATATTGAATAAAATGCGAAAGCATTTGGCGAATGGCAAAAAAGCGAGCAAAAGACATCAAACAGGTAATGCGCTTTTTTACCTTTAAGAAATAAGAATGATCAAAAGATTGAGATTAGTATTTAAAAAATCATCTTAATGCGAAAAAATATTGATTTTTGCTATATTGTTATCAAATCAGAGAGTATAATGCAAACTTGCAAAGAATGTGTCTAAGCTGTTTGTGCAACTGATTTATTTCATAATACTAATATAGCACCTTGCCTTTTCTATTTCTATTTCCAAAAGAAGCACAAATTGAACATGTCGTCTTTCCCCCTCCCCTTTCATAAACCTGACGTTAATGGAGGTAACGAAGCAGTAGACTAGAGAAAATATGCTACCATCTGCCACTCACCTACTACATCTACTTCATAGGTGGCGTTTATACGACCGTGCTTGTTAAAAACTATGCACATGTAGGTGCCGCTATCTCCTGGCTTTAAGTGGCTCAACTTGAGTGTGAACTGTCTTGATTGCCTGCCCTCTGTTATGACCATTCGTGTGCCGTCCTTTTCCCATACTATCTCCGGACGAGGGTGGCCGGAAGCCTTGCACTTTAACCTCACAGAACTGTTAAGGGGCTTCATTATCTTTTGGGCCTTCATCATTTTGCTCAGCTCAGAAAATTGAGGCATAGCTAAATAAACAAATAAACATAAAGACATGCACAAGAGACGCACAAAAAGAGAAAACAGAAAAAAGGGAGAAATGAAAAATGGAGCAATCCCAGGATCCAATGAAAGAGAGATTGTTTGGATGATTTGAGGAAAGTGATCTTGGTGTTGATAAGGTAAGGGGATTAGGAGTAGGATAAGGGAAATGAACTTGGATTGGATAACATTCAGTATAACATTCCATGAACAAGTACAAACTTGTTAACACCACACAGATGGCTGTCTATGGTTTACTTAAAGGTGAGTTACAGGATGAGGCTGACAAACGAATGGTCCAGATCCTAACAATGAACAAACTTATTACTTTCCCATGCCATCAACGTCTAAGATGCAACTACTATATGTCCACTTACTAAGACAATATAAATTTGCTATGATTTATAAGCAAATGTTATGACTCCCCCACCTATTTTAATTCAACATGCTGAAATGAACACTGAGAAATCACTCAATATTAATTGGTTTGCTACAGCGTCTGCAATAGTCTTAAAGCATAGAAGAGAGCTATTACCTTTCTAGCTACTAAAACTACTGAGCTACATGAACACCAAAAAGAAATATACTGCACACATAGGTTGGTTCTTGCATTGAAAATCTGGGTATCTTGAGGCAGACTTGGTGAACTTTTCAGCTAATTTATTACAATTTTAGAGTAGTATAGCACCAAATAAGACAACTTTTCTAGAATTTGTTTTCTTCTTTCATATTATATCTGCTTCAAAAGTTATTCACCAGTCTATGTCTTGGATGTTTTTGCTTTCCTCTTAAAGCAGTTTGCTTTCAAGGTTGGAACATATCGCATCTAAAGTTATGGAATATGGGCTGATTCAAACTCCTGTTCATCATGTAGAACTTCTAATTCTACAGACACAGCAGCAATCATTGACCATGAAAATAACATCTTACATTATACACATAGGAAGCTAGAGAGGGCAGTATACTTACTTCCTGATGTGGGTCTATCAGGTCTCTCCTCTACTGTAGGTGTGTCTACTCTGCTAGGATCTTCTTCAGGGCTACTTGATCCATCTATGGTAAGCAATGGATGCAAAAAATACATATCAAAATCATTAGCATCGATCATGCCAATTCATTGTGGATTGTATCTACTCAAGACTCATCATTTTATTGAGAAGGAACTATTTTATTTTTGAGATAGGCATTAAAAAAAAAAAAAAAAGATATGCTCACTCACGCTCACGCTCAAGATCATACACCATAATTCCTTGATCTCGAAGTTGAATATTGAGAGCATTACTGTAAATCCATACACTTTGGCAACATGACTGTTTTGCAGATTTTCAATGACTGCCATTCTCAGGGTAAGAATCTTTCAGGTATTGCACAAATTTAATGGGAAAATTCAGAGTAGATTATTTTATGAATGTGAGACTAGAGATATCTCTGGGTTATAATTAACTCACCACTGAAGCTCTAGCAAAAAAGCTGATGAAACTTTCTGCTTGTACAAAGCACAGCAGTATACAAATTAACTATTAATTTCAGAAGCACAAATGGGGTGCAAGCTATTAACTTTAGACAGGGCTCAACACTTAACGGGTGCCCGACACATGGTCACGGGCATCAAAAACCTAATTCTGGACCCCCAAATTTCAATTTGGTTACATTGGGCTCATTCATACACACCCTAAAAATTATCCTGGACCGGGCCCCTTCCAAAGAGTGAGTGTGGATCCCTGCTTTAGTTTAGACCACCTAACTCGTCTGGAACCCCTCCCTTGCACACTGTCTCTAATTGCAGTCCTCTTCAGAGCTTTTCTTTGCTTCTTTTCACAGTTTGACGCAAACCTCTCAAATCATTAATTCCATCAAACTACCCTCCATTCATCCTGCTTTCTTAATACCCAGTCCACAAAACACACAAGTAAACAAATCATCACTAGTACTATGGATGAAGAAAGAAAGAGAGATTAACAAAAACATATACAATAGAAGGTTCCCCCTACCACTTCTTGATTTATCAGTCTATTCTCTTTTCAATTCATCAACAATTCAGAGCTATTACATAGCTAACATGAACTGAATAAAAGCAAAGATTTGCAGTTGATTCATATGTAAATGATGCCTCTTTTGTCCAGAGTTCTTGCATTAGCACTGGCGCCTGAATCCAAGTGGTTTGAATTTCGGTCCCTTTTTGGAAGGCCTGTGTTTTTTCTTTGGAGTGTTTACTCTCTGTAAACTTTGCAGCATACCAGTCTTGAGTGATATGTGCACAGTCCCTTCTTTCTTTCCCAGCTTCAGAATGATCTATTTGACTTTTGTCTGAATTCTGGAGAAAAACTGATTTTCTCTGAGGAATGTTAGCATGAATAAAGGAGGTTGTACCATCTGCTGGGTTTACTGGACCTTGTCAACTACTAAGAGCCAGGAAGTAGGTTCACTCTACAGGTATACAGTTAACAACTAAATTATTCATACCCTTACCTATTTATGTATTAATTGTTAAGTACATGTATATGAAAATTGAATTTTTCCTGATTTATGTTTCTTGAGAACGTGACATATTAAAGCTTTTAAGTAAAAAAAATAAACAAAGACCCTCCTACAACCAGTCCACCTTTCATTCTTGATTTACAGAAAGGGTAGATTAATTTAGTTGTTTACTGTAAATAGAATAACATATAGTTTTATGCCCTTCCCACTCTCAGTATATAATATATTGGTATACCTGCCAGTTTTAGCAGAATAGAAAGTTGTGGTTTTACTTCACTAGATAAAGAGTAGATGTACATGGAAGAAAGCAGAATATTCAGAGAAGCAGATTGGTAGAAGTCAAGGAGAAAGTTATGATCCCTATACGTATGCACGTATGCACACTTTAATTTCGCTGAAATTGGCTGCAGTGTCACTGTAACAAAGAGCCAGACAACTCTCTCTTCTTTTCCAACAAAAATAACTAAAATATAAATTTTCCAAAATGTATCATGATCATGTTATTTTCCTACTCAGTAACTTGCTTTTAGTAAACTTTGATATTCCTTTTCAATCCACAATTCCAGTACATCTCAGTGCTCTATTGAAGTTTCAATTAACAAAGAATTGCCTTCACAATGCAATTTGTAGGGAGACGGAGAGAGAGGGAGACGGGGAGAGAGAGAGAGAGAGAGAGAGAGAGAGAGAGAGAGAGAGAGGGGGAGAGAGAGATAGAGAGAGAGACAGAGACAATAAGAGAGGGAGAGAGGTGGGGGGGGGGCAGGGTTGATGGCTTAGGGAAAAGTGAAGAAAAAATTGTAAACAAAAAAGTAGCCTGTTGATGTTGTTGTTGTCCTTAAGAAATTGATTTTCTTTTATTGAAATCCTACTTACCTGAACATTTTCATAAACCTAAAGAATATGACAGTAAACATTGATGAAAATGTCCCTTTCTTGTGAGGATGGGGTTGATTCAAGAAGATATGTGAGGTCATACAAGGTCAAGCTCAGAGGCTAACTGCATAGGTCCCTGAACTAACACCTCAGTGATGCTATAGAGTGGGTTGTGGGGGGTCTAGGGGTGCCCAAACTGGTGTTGAGAAATGGGTGTTCATACCAGCATCAACAAAGGGGGGGGGGGAGGGGTGGTGGTAGTCTCTGGTTTGCAGACATGCTTTAGGACCATACCCTGGAAAATTCATAGGATATTTTATCTTTCATATATTTGCATGTAAGGCAAATGTAAATACATTAAAATAAATATACAATGTGAATCAGCAGTATAACAAGTTGTTCTGATGGACTTCTCAACCACCAAATACTTGTATAAGAGTTTCTCAAAGAATTTGTTTTGATTATTTCTTCTTTCTTTCTTGGGGATAACCAACTGAGATATCATTGTGAGCTTTGAAGTTGTCTTTTAGTACAGCTAACTGTTTAAGTTCTCTTAAATGAAGGATGAAATATTTAACAAAACACCCTGAATGAGAAAATAAACATCCTTTATTGGTCAGCTTGATCGACTAAAGACAGCTTGTGTCAGATGTTTATGGTGAATGTAAATTTCTTGACTACACGTATACAAGAAGTGAAAAGAACTTTCTTCAGAGTTCCCCCACAAGACCAAGAACTTCATTCTCCACAGATAAAGCAGTATAAACACCAGCTTGAAGACTAGTCTAAGCCCTTCTCTCCCCTCTTTCTCCCTGTTTTCTCCAAGGAGCCTGGTGTTGGTGGTAATAAACCAAGCTCCCATTATGTGGATGGATAATTGCTTGGGTTGACAGCCCAGCTCTGAGGGGGCTACTTGAGAGGTTAGCCCCGGGGCGATAGGGGTGCTTTCAGGCTGGTGACAGGCTGCCCCATTGGGGCCAATCGCTTACCAAGTCTCCACTGGTATTGAAAGGAGTAAGAGAAAGTATGGAGAACAACTGAAACAGAGACCACATGATTTCAAGGATCACAGACTCCATAATGGATCCTGTCCTATCAGATCGATGTTTTTTGGAAGTCCTGTACCTGGACAAATTTCTTTGTGAGAAGTATTTCAGCAATGTACATCTAGATGCTAATTGAACTGATAAAATCGACAATGGTACTACTCTGATGACCATTGACAGAATGCCTGTCTGACCCTGTGCTTTGTACTCAGACTAGCATAGGGAATTCACAACCAACTGACAGCACTTTCAGTTCAGAAAGAAAGAACTCCCTTTGCTTTGGCAGAATGTTTACTTTAGAGTTTAGCATAAGAATGGGGTATGTGGGCAATAAATCGACCTAATTTGTATTCACATGTCCCAATTCATTCAATGATATGCATCAAATTATTAAACAAAATGACTGGGAAGTTCCTCATCTTTTTGCAGAGCTCATTTACATCATGTTCAGATTAAATAAAAGATTGATTCTTGGTACTATGATATAAATTGGCATTGTCGGTGAAATAACTACACATTTTGAAGCATTAATGTAGCCCTTATAACAAATCCAAGCTTTGTGTAAGTAAATATCTGTACTTTCTAAAACTTTAGTTTGTTCACCTTCATTGGGATTCAGGAGTGCTTAGGCCTATAGTTTCCCAATTCCCACATACCAATGTTTGGGGGTAGATGTGCGTCCCAACTTGGGACATTGTCCTAATTGTCATCACCAATTTACTGTGTTAGACAATGACATAAGGACAGACAGAAAGAGAAGACGATAACAATTAGAAAACAAAGAATAACATAAGGAAGGCTAGATATAGAAGATAGAGTGATAAAATCAAAGAATAAAGAATTTCAAGTAGAGAAGACTGGTCCAGGAAAGTGAGTGAGAATGTGGTCTAAAGCTTACTGTTAGTAAAAAAATGCAATGGCAATGGCTCCAAGACAAATATTCTTACACACCTTCACAGACTAATCTCATATCTACTACAGACTATCTTTGAAGTATTCTATCATTGGTGTTTGCTGATCGCTAAGATTTGTGCATGCTCCAGGTAAAATGCAGAAGTGACGAGAAAAGCTGTTGGGTAAAGATCTTGCAACATTTACACTTTAACAACCAGATGATGACTCAGAAATCAAACAAGAGATTATCTCTCAAATTTCATATTTTTGCCTTTTTACCCCCCCCCCCTCCCAGTAAGTGACCCCAAGCAATGCGATTGGCTGATGTGACAAATCAGCGTTTAAACAAGTGCAGAAGTGGTCAATTCACCATCATTTGCCATTCGTCTTGATGAAATGGAGCACAAAACCGGAGCACATTGTGTGGGAAATGTTTGCGATCGACTAGATGCCGAGAGGGGGTGTCGGCACCATCAAAGGGCTGATGGCCCTGGGGCAGGGAGAGTGAAGGAGGAGGGAGCGAGGGAGATACACCTTCAGAATGAAGGGGAAGGGGTAAGAAAAGTGGCATAGATAGAGACAGATGATAAAGACAGATCAAGAGAGGATTCAGAGCAGATTGAAGGAACATGTGATAAGAAAATGAGAGAGAGAATCAGAGAGAAGACGGATAAAAGAAGGAAAACCTGACAGGTTCAATAGGAGAAAAAAAGGGTATGATTTTTTTTTTAAATGCATACTACACTGTAAGTGAATGAGCAT